CTAAAACTCTCAAGCAAAACAACTACCCAACGAACTTCATCAACAAAATCAACACAGACATTAAGTATGGCCGAAAATGCATTCCGAAAACATGGACTTCAACAGTCGTCATTCCATATAGAGCAGAGACGTCAGACGATATCAGAAGAGTACTTAATCAACTCGACATTAGAGTTTTCTTCAAAACATCGGACACACTTCAAAACAACCTTGTCCATATAAAAGACCAAATCCCGAAAGATTCTCTATCTAATTGTGTCTATAAAATAAAATGCTCGGAATGTGATGCGATCTACATCGGACAAACATCTCGAGAAATCAAAATCAGAAGAAATGAACACCGTAGAGCTTCTCTTCGACCACCAAGAAATCCAGTTGAACTAGAAAAACTTCAAAAATCATCAGCCATAGGTCTACATGCTATAGAATCAGGCCACAAAATTGATTTTGACAATATTGAAATAATCCAGAAAAACTTCAGAAACCACAAAGAACGTCTAATATCAGAAGCACTTCATATCAAGTGGAATCCAAATTGCCTGAATAGGAATGATGGACTGAAACAGAATCTAACCTGGCTACAACACCCTCCCCCATGAAGTAGCAAAATCAACGCAAATGTGGTGAGCAAGTTCACTATGTAAACACACACTACTTTCATAATTCTACACACTGATAAAATCCAACAATCTACACTTGGTTTTACTATCTTTACCAGTTCGCTAACTTGACAACAAAAAACGACCCAGACTGACGAATGATGATCAAGTATTTCACAACCTACACTTAGTTTGGTTACCTTTACCTATTCTCCAACTTGACAACCAAAAATGACCCCAGACTAACGAACGATGATCAAGTTAGTAAACTTTATTTTGATATAATAACAGATATACTATTACCTTTGATATTTGGTTTGAACGATCTTCATTGTTATTTTGACTTTCAATATGTCCTTTTAAGTTGAACTAAGTCTATATTTTTCTCACCCCCTAACTCTTTGTTATATATATGCTGAGATTTTGTAAATTCCGGTTTAATAATACTTTGAGAAAGCTATTAGCATTAAATAGCGAAACGTCAGTAAAAACAATCTCGTTTTGTTTTTTCATTCATTGGGAAATACAAAAAACCTCTATTATAATGAATATCATATACCCAATGCCCAAATTTTTTCAAACCGTTAAAAGTGAACTTGGTTTGGATATATACAATGGTAATTTTGTTTGACAAACTTAATATACATATACATACAAAATAACCCATATGTATATATTTACGATTGTACAGCTAAGAAAATGAATTCGCTGAAGAGAGTGACTCTTCGCCGATCTACGTGTTTTGATTTCATTGATTTATTTAAATTCAAGAGTTGGTTTGTAAGGATTAGATTTGTTTTCACGAGTTTGCCCGTCGATTGATATCAGTAAGAGAACCACTGAAAACTGGCGCTGGAGTACTGGACATTTGGCGTTTCATCCTAGTTTGGGAATCATCGGCAGTGACAAACGAGTATGGATTTATAATAATAGAGTCTGATGAAGAATTTCTCTCTATTTTTGTTTTAAATAAATTATGAAGATATTCAAGTTACTGAAATCCTGTGAGCATCCGGTAGCACTGAAGGCAGTCAATGAATACTAGAAGTATAATGCTAAACTCATTGAGGTGAAAATGAACATGAAATTAATTCGAAGCTGCAATGTGAATAATTGGTATCCTAAAGTATATTCATTCACCAGTATTGAGAAATCAAAGCAACCTGTTTTGGTATTGGCTAGTCGTATCCTCATCAAGATTTTTTAATCCTAAGGGATATATGCGTAATGAGAATAAAGTGGGAAAGGAAGACTTAAGTAAAAAGAAAATTTCTTCATCATTGGAAAATCATGAACCTCTAAACTTGACATTATCAGAAAGCTGGTCTACTCTGTTTTTAACTGACCTAATGAGTGTTTCTATCGGCAGTCATTGCAAACAACTGACTGTAACCATCTGTACTTCTTTATATGTCAGACAAAGATTATTACAGTGTGTCTTATGGGAATGATATTAGCAGATGTTTTTTCATGACATAGTTCACAGATATTCTCAGGAGTATACACATAATGATTGTCGCTATTATTATTACTATTACGGTTACCGAATGACATATAGGACTATAATCAGTGAAATTTCAGTTAGGGTGGTGTTACTTGTCTCACGATGAACCATCTCTCTTTTCTTGGTGTCTATTGCAGACTAGTAAGAAACTAAGCGAGGTTTAGAAATGCCTTGACTGGAAATCGAACCTGAATCTCCTGAGTAGCAGGTTAGCATTCTACCGCCACTGAATCACGGACGCACAATGTCAATACTCATACATGCTTTGTGTCTCAGGTGGAACAAACGGCTTTAGAAGCACATCTTTAAGTCGTCCTTTTCTCTGTGGTCCTCTTTAGCTGAGCCGACGATTGACTATAGTCTGTCATCTTTTTCTCTCCAAGTGATTTCCTCCATACCACCCTCAGACACGCACACCCCACTTGTCGTCTGTCATTAGGGTTCCACTCGACCAATAGCCTCACGATGGAGTGGTGTAATTCGACGGTCTCTTCAGCGTATGGTCGATAAATCTCCATCTTCTCCTGCATATTCATTGAGCAACAGATTCTCGGTTGATTCACTTCCACAGTTCTTTTTGTTAATTTTTTCTGGTCGGCCAGCCATTTGATCCTAAATATGGAGCCATTCAAGGCGGGTAGCTATTTATAGAAGTCTGTAGTTGCCTGTTGTAAATGCTTTCCGTGGCGTACAGTACAAGTTTCTGACCCATACAGAAGAAGTGACTGACTCAAAATAACTGTTGAAAATCTAAATCTTGTGCTACATGTTGGCTGAATGCAGAAGATTTTCAAACTGATTCCAGATTGGTAAAGGACTTCTTTGCCTTTCTAACTCCGGTTTTGTCATTCTCATCCGTTTCATCCTTAGTTGAAAAGTTGGTCTCTACGTTAAATGAAGGAAGTTGTTGGCGTGTGGGTATCTTCATCACCTCCGTCTAAGTTCTCTATGTTCACCTGCAGTCCTGTCTTCACTGCACTGCTTCTTCAGTGAATTTTTTGGTTTTCACCTGTAATTCTTCGAGTTTGTGGTACGTTAGACACAAATCATCCGCAAATTCAACGCAAAAGAAAAATATTAATAATACAAACATATAAGAACAAACTCATTTTTCGATGGAATCAGAGAGGCGAGCTGATATGGTTCGGTGAAAGCTTCCAGGAAGCCAGTCAACTGATATGTCTTCTTTCAATGAGAGCAAAAATAAGAATAGGAACGTGGACTGTTCGCACAATATACCAGGCTAGAAAGGCTGATCAAGAGCTTGGAATGTGTCACAGGAAATGGAATGGATGTGGACTATAGAAATCGTTAACTAAAGAGTCAGTAAACTACTACAGTCACCCAGACAACAACCAGTAGTACACTGAGACACTGAGTAGCTATCATGATGTCACAAACAGTAGCCAAAGCTTTCATGAAGTGGGAACCAATCACCTCCAGCAGGATAATGACATAAAGATTCAATTCAAAAGGAAGGATGGTTACAATTAATCAATGCTATAGACTTACAGACATGCTTTATAATAATAATAATAATTTGCTTTATTCCAAAACAGTACTTGTGATACAAAACGGAATTCTCCCATTTCACCACAGTATTGCGCATCCAGTTAGTACATTAACAATAAATACAATTCTACATAGATTATGGGTAATCTCAGTTAGTTATGACAACAACATATTGGCATGTCGGTAGTAAAGCCAAATTGAACAGAGTGTTTGAAGGCGTTAGAAAAGTAGAACTACTAGCATATTTACTGGCGTAAGCGGAAGAAAGAAACAAACCAGCACATAAGAGAGAAAAAGAAAAGAAAAAGAAAGAAAAAGTTGTACCTATAAATGATATCAGTTGGAAAGACGAGATCCAGTTGTTCTACTGACTATTTAATAAGTTATAGGTATCACGCTTAATGCTTTCTTTATCGCACAGAACACAGGTAAGTGGGGTATGGTTGAGTTTTTGTACTTTCTAGTACGAGCATATAGTTTTCTATATAGGCTTCTGGTCTGCCTGCCTGATGAGATACAAGGGGAGAGTTGTGAATGAAGAGGGTGGTGTGAGTTAGATAGATAGAATGGATTTAGCCCATGTTTCACATGAGTCCATGTGCCTGTCAACCAGAATATTAACAAGCTGGTTAAGTGGCACATTGCTCACCCTGATGACAACCTTTAACATCCTGCGTAATAAGGTATAGTCTTTCTTCAGTAGCCCAGGAAAAACTAACGGGGAACGATAGAGAATAAGAGGCAGAATGCGAGAGTTAACGAATTGTAGGAGTAAGGGTTGGATTATACCAGAATGTCTTAACTTCTTGATGTAGAAGGTAAGACTGAATATTTTCTTAGAAATCATCAAGATGTGAGACGACCAGGAAAGATCAGCAGCACCTAGATATTTCATTTCCGACTTGGTTTCTATTTCAGTGCTCCCTATGTTGCACACCTCGTGAGTGCTAACCAGTTTGTTTAGGTCAGATTTGTGCCTAAAGGTGAAATTAACTGTTTGGCATTTGGAGGGGTTTAAGGTGAGACCGTTTTCCTTGGACCACTGGCTGATTTCTGATAAAAAGCCATTTAGTTTAGAGCAGTTACTTTGACATTTGACAGGCAAAGATACAGTCAGGTGGTCAGCTTATTTGACAAAATTAATGTCATTTGAAGATGGTAGGTCATGTAGAAAGAAAGAAAGAAAAGAGAAGTGGGGAGACTACAGCACCTTGGAGGACACCAGCTTCAGTGAGCACAGCAGAGGAGTATTTGCCTTTTCTGTTAGAGAAGTAGGAATGCAACCAGTTAGTGACCCAGGGCTCAGCAATAATCAAATCAGGACTATTATTATTAGTCAGTTAGTAGTAGAGAAGAAGTTAAGGTTTTCTCTGAACAATACTTACCGATAATTTCAATACTTTTATTAAATGCAAAACCAATTTCATATGCATCATATTTAAGAATACATGAATTTTTACACGTCCTTTTAACTGGTAAAAATTACTACACAATGGTGGTCCAATAATTGCTTCATTCTTATCATGTTTTATTGAGATAAGATTTTTTGATCCATCAACAATTTTTGCTAGCCAAAAACTATTTCTTCTGGAGTAGTATGAACGACCATCAGAAGTGAGCATACCACATTTGAATACATTTCTTGAACCAATACCAACAGTATATCCCTATTATTGATACCATTCAAAGTGCCTTTACGATAAGTATCTGTACAATTCAGAAAAGAAAGATGAAAAGATACAAATAGATGAAAAGGATATCGAACTATGAATCTGTGAGTGAATGAATGAATGCATGAATACAGATTATTTAAGGTTCTATTTGTGGATATCTGTGACCTAACTGAACTATTATTATTTCTTTAGGTACCAAGTGGAACATCTTCATTTCATCTTTTTTTTGTATGGTCGCCTTTAGCTGGTTCCATGATTGGCCATAGGCTCCGATGTGTTACCCTGGGTTCACACTCAGCTAATCCTTTCTCATTCTATTTGGGACTCGTCAACTGGATGTACCTGCATTCCCCAGTGAGTGACAGTGTTCCCACCTAGACTCGAACCCAGTGCCCATAGTTTCAAACGTCAAAGAGTTATCCAGTAGACCACTTGGACACGAGAGCCACCTCTTGTGCAACGGGTCATATTAATTATTTATTGAATTTTAGATTTTCCCATCGATTGGTGGGACCGAAGTGCTCAGCCTCAGGTTGACATATCGACTTCAATTAAATTAACATGACCCGTTGCACAAGAGGTGGCTCTCGTGGTCCAAGTGGTCTACTGGATAACGCTTTGGCGTTTGAAACTATGGGCACTGGGTTCGAGTTTAGTGGGAACACCATCACTCACTGGGGAATGCAGGTACATCCAGTTGACGAGTCACAAATAGGACGAAATGCTGGTTGTCCTGGATTCCACTGCTAGTCACTATCCACCAATTAAATTCTAATTACATGGCTAGACATCGTCGAAGCATCTGCACAAGAAGCCAACAGACATGTCAACCTGAGACCGAGCACTTCGGTCCAATCAATCGATGGGAAAATCTAAAACTTCAATTCCAAAATACATTTTAAGAGTTGATCACGGATTGATATCAGTTTGAGAACCATTGAAAACCAAGGAGTACTGGACAGCTGCTGTTTCATCCTAGTTTGGGAATCATCGGGAATCATCAATGGTTTTCAAACTGATATCAATCCGTGATCAACTTGTAAAACATAACTAACCCTTACAAACCAAAACTATAGAAAATCAAAAATATATGTATTCTTTTGATGTAACTACTTCATTCACTAATCTACCTTTATTTAGAACAAGTGACATTTTGTGCTAATGATTACATTTCCGCACATATAACTTTTTCAACCCGTTTCCTAAATCTTATTTAAGGGATTTATTACTTCTATAAACTAGCAATGTTAGGTTTACATTTGAAGGCGATCGTTTGCATCAGGTGATGGTGTTGCTACGGGAAGTCCATTAGGCCTCCTTTTAGCAGATATATATATATGTCTTACATTGAGAGTTTATCGGACGATTTAATCGAAAATGTGCCGGTTTACAGAAGGTATTTAGATGACGCTTAAGTCTGTAGAAGAGGAAGATAATTGTTTATCCATCCTAGACATATGGCTTAGTCGACGGCTTGATAGGTCAATAAAATGATCTATGTATAGAAAACCTACCTGGACAGGATAGTATCTTAATTATCACAGTTTCTGCCCTGTTCGGTACAAAAGGACCTTCTTGGGGTATCTCTTAGTATAATGCAACGAATATACGCTGAAGACAAACTTTGTAATGAACAAAGAGAACTAATACAAACTAATTCAGACAAGTGCATAAGGTGACATAAAGTGGTCAGTGGAACACTAAGACCCACGCATTCTCCAGTTCGCCACTAAGAAGGACATTTATATCAAGCTATCTTATATGGGACATCAAAACAGCTTGATAACTAGACAAAGATTGAACTCTGTAATTAAAGAAAGACTTCTCATGCAGATAAGATCAGAATTACCGAGAGTCTGAAGCTCAAATATCCATCTAAACCTTTAGAACATGTGAAAAATGAAGTCATATCCTTCCACTGTATTTACCAATTTAAATGTAATTCTGGGAACATAAACATAGGAGGGAGGACTCATCGATCTCTACAAGAAAGTGAAGCCTTCAAAGCATATCCTTGGATGTGCGTCGGTGGCACAGTGGTTAGGACTCTCGCCGACCATGCACATGGTCCGGGGTTCGAGCCCACGTCGGCGCACACCTGATATCTATGGTCGGCCTGCAAAATTTGGGCTACCGATATCCATGCTGAAAATTCCATACTTGTACCAAAAATACAGTGTGGAATCAAGCTGTAAATCAAAAAAATAAAAATAAAAAAATAAGAAGCAGAATAAATTCCTCAGGACCCATTAATAGTGAGAACAGACGACAACTTAGCTCCTCTACTACAAAATAATAATTAAAAAAAACTAGAAAACAAAAATAAATTAACTTACTAACAATTTTAATAATTTTCACTTTTGAATATATTTCTTTTTTAGTTTGATGATCAATAAAACTGCATACTATTTCAACTTTTCCAGGTTTTGTATAAACAATCTGATTATACGGTGGTTGAATAACACTTGTACGATTAATTATCTTTAAACTGATTATATCAATATGACCGCCAATAATATGAATTAACCAATAACCATTATTATATTGATTAATTGAATTATTCTTTTCATGTATTTCATGATCACATTTCATTCTCATATTTGTACCAAGTGTTAAACGATTCTCATGTTCATATAATAATTGTATAGCTTCATCTAAAGGGAAAGTTAAGTGTGTGTGTGTGTGTATATGAATAAGTGAAGTAAGCAAATAAGTTAAATAGTCATCAGACAGTGACTAGTATTATTTATTTATTTTATTATTTTTGGTAACAGCTTGATTCCACACTGTATTTTTGGTACAAGTATGGAATTTTCAGCTTGGATATCGGTAGCCCAAATTTCGCAGGCCGACCGTTGATATCAGGTGAGCGTCGGCTGGGGATCGAACTTGGGACCATGTGCATGGTCGGCGAGAGTCATAACCGATGGGCCACCGACGCACATAGAATGGCTATAAGAAGATACTAGAAGATCTGGATTTCGTAGATGATATTTGTCCAGTGTCACAGAAACTTGAAGACTTACAGTAGAAAACCAACAAATTGACAGAAGAGACTGACAACAAAGACTGAACTCCAAGTGAACATAGAGGAGACGGAAGTGATGAAGACAACCGACCAACAACAAACAACATCAGTCACCATCAAAAAGGAGAGAGATTTAACAGAGGTTGCCTCCTTCACTCATCTGACCAGGAAGCATCATTTCGACTACAAGCATTCGGAACGGATGAAGATGTAAGGTCAGAGTCGGAAAGTTAAACCACGACTTCATCAACTTGGAAACAGTCTGGAAATCTTCTACACACTGACTAAGCCTAGAGAAAAAGATTCAGATTTTCAATACTAAAGTCATATTGTAACAACAGAAGACAAGGGCCAGGCAACAGATCGTTTTATTATGAAAATCAACACGTATTTATACATATTTCACATACATTATTATAGCTTATGCAAGTAGACAAGCTCAGTTATCTGATTGGTTGTTTATCAGAAGTTAGGCAGACAAACGCAGGCTTCTGATTGGTTGTTTCGGGATTCCTCGACAAATAGAGTTCTTATCTGCGAATCATATTTTGCCACGTTAACTTTGCTGTGATTGGTTGTTGAATCAGCCTTGCTCTCACCACAATATGTCGGTTCTTTTATACGGGTCAGAAACTTGCACTGAGTATCACGAAAAGGACTTCCGACAGGCCACTTTTTAGACTTTTATCAACAACTGCCCACTTTGCTGGCTGGTTCCATACTGAAGATCAAATGGCCATAAACAATAAATAACAAGAAACTATGGGAACAAACCAACCAAGAGACGATTGTTTAATAAATATATAGGAGAAAATGTAGATAGACTGATCGGGAATATGCCACCAGGGAGGCCGTCGAATGAGATAGTGCGGTAGGCCGTCGAGTGGGATTCGAATGAAAAACGACGAGTTGGTTGTCCGAGGGTAACATGGAGTAGATCGTGCAAAGAGGAGATGAGAGATTATGTCCAAATCTAAGACCTAGCTGAAGAAGATAGCAGAGAATGGAAGAAAGTGGAGATGGGCTGTTGATACCCTATTTCCTACTCGGAACCCAAGGAAATAATAACAATAATACTATAGCCTTCGAAGTGAGGACGGGAGTGAGACAAGCTGGCTGTCTACTATCACCAATGATCTTCCTGATTGCAATTGATTGGATAATGCGACAGACAACGGCAACCAACGAGGGAACAGGCATAAAATGGACTGACACAAAAGACTTGGAGGATCTGGATTTCGCCGATGATATATGTCTGATCTCCCACAAACTAGAAGATATGCAAGTGAAAAGCAACAAGTTGGCAGAAGAAGCATCAAAGATAGGACTTCAGTTGAACATAGATAAAACAGAGGTGATGAAGATTCCTAGCCAACATCAACAGCAACAACAACAACAACAGACAACAATTAGCATAAGTGGGAAGAACCTGAAAGAAACAGCCTCCTTCACCTACCTGGGAAGCATCGTCTCAACTACAGGCGGAACTGACGAGGATATCAAAGCCAGAATCGGAAAAGCAAGACAAGCTTTCATTACTCTCAAATCTGTGTGGAGGTCAATAGCACACTCAGCATCAAAAATAAGATCCGGATTTTCAACTCCAATGTAAAGTCAGTGCTACCCAGTGTACTGATCAGAGACTTGGCGAGTCATAAAGAGCATCTCAAACAAACTTCAGATCTTCATTATTAGTTGTCTTCGCTCAATACTCAAGATCAGATGGGAGGCCAGAAAAGATCAGCAACAGGGATCTCTGGGAGCGAACCAATCAGGAACCGATTGTGAAACAAATAGGCAGGAAGAAATGGAGATGGGTTGGCCATACGCTGAGGAAACCATCAAGTGACATCACTAGACAAGCCATCGCTCGAGTGGAACCCGAAAGGTAGGCAGCGAGTTGGTCGTCAGTGCAAGGGTGACTTGGAGGAGGTCATGTGAAGAGGAGATGAAAGCATGTGGACAGACCTGGAGCAGGGTGAAAAAGTTGGCAGAAAACCGAAGGCAATGGAGGTGCGCAGCTGAAGCCCTATGTTCCTCTAGGAACTAAAGGATACAATAATAATAATAATTAAAATCTCGTGGCCTAAATGCCCCATTACTTAACGGTTTAGAGTTTGAAATGACCAATGCTTTGCTCGGATCTCAGTAAGAGCATCGTCACGCACATGGGGTACTGAAGATATGTCCAATAGATGTTTTCAAAATAGGATAATATACGCATTCACTGGATTTTACTTCTAGTCTCACCACCCAACACCAACTAATGTCACGTTTATCCCCAGATATCATCAAAGCGTCTGTATTGGAAGCCTACAAATCAGCAGAGACTTAATATTTCAGTGCAATTTAATCAGTAGACGTGATATACACCATTGACTAAAACAATTCAAATCTCAGACCACAGAAAAGTTATTAATAAAATAGTTTCTGACACGTATAGAAGAACCAACTTGGCGTTGGTGTTAAAAATCCGAATCTTGTTCTTTAGGCTGTGTCAGTGTAGAAGATTTCCAGACTATTTCCGAGTTGATGAAGGCGTGTCTTGACATTTTCATCCATGTTGTCGCCTGTAGTTGAAACGATGCATCCCAAATAAATGAAACTGGCAACCTTTGTTAAATCTCTCTCGTTGATGGTAATTGGCACTGGTTGTTGTTTGTGGTGTTAGTGCGTGGGTATCTTCATCACTACCGTCTTCTCCGCGTTCACCTACAGTCCCGCCTTCTCTGCCTCTTCAGCCAATTTGTTGGTTTTCAACTGCCTGCAAGTCTTCGAGTTTGTGTGACATTAGACATATATCATCTGGGAAATCCAGGTCCTATATATTCTTCTTATCAGTCGTCCAGCGTATTCCTGACTCCTCATCCCCAGCTGTCTAACACATTATCCAGTCAACCACAATTAATAATATCATTAGTGATAACAGGCAGTCTTGTCTTACTCCTCTTTTCGCTTCGAACGCCTCACTGAGAATAATCTTAAAATAATCCAAAGTAATGCATTGGATGCTGAATAGCAGTGGAATCCAGGACAATGCACATTTCATCCTATATGGGACTGGCTTGTCATCTGGATGTACATGCATTCCCCAGTGAGCGACAAAGTTGCCAGTGAGTCTCAACCCCAGAACGCATCGTTTCATACACCATAGTGTTATTAAAAGCCCAGAATGAATTAAATAATAACTGAAATCCTTAGATAAGAGGTAGCTCTCTTCGTCCAAGTGGTCTAGTGGATAACGCTTTAGCGTTTGAATCCATGTGTATTGGACTCTAGTCCCAGTGGAAACACCATCACTGACTCACTGGGGAATACAGGTACATACTTTAACTAGTGAGTCCTGAATAGAACGAAATGAGCTTTATTCTGGCTTCCAGTGCTAGTCACCATCCATCAGATTACTTCAGGTTAAATCCTCAGACACCTATAAGGCATCCACACATGGAAGAGGAGGCGACATGTCAGCCTAAGGCTGGACACTTAGATTCAGTCAATCAGTCAACCGGAAAGTCTAAACTGAATTAAGAAAATAAGAGTCGCACTGCCTTATAAAATAACAATCATAGAAACACCCCAGATAGCCTTTTAAAGCCACGTCGCCAACTTCATATAGGAGCATTTAACGTCAAGACCCTCTGCCAAATCGGGCAATAAGCATCACTAGCAAGAACTCTGGCAACTCGAGCCATGGATGTATGTTGTGTTTCGAAGACACGCATGCAAGACCCGAGTGTGGTCATTCATTTAACCTCACCCAGTCAACAAGGTGAATCTGCAAAATTCCCTTTAAGGTTGTCAGGAGACCCCTCAGCTAGCTCGCGAGGACTTGCAGGTGTAGGGATAGCACTGAGCGTTAGGGCAGAAAAATCACTTCTCGACTGGATCCCAGTAGATAGTTGTATGTGTGTGGTCCATCTGAATGAGTCAGTTAAAAGAAGGAAAGACGGCGCTACCCGTCGTTGCCTCTTCGTAGTCTCGGCTTACGCCCCAAAAGACTGCAGTTCGGATGAATTAAAGGATGATTTCTACCTGAAACTGTCTAATTTGCTGCAAAAAGCAAAACGCTCAGATATAGTTGTTTTAGCAGGCGACTTCAATGCCCGCCCAAGTATGGAAGTTGTGCCGGACTGAGAAGTATGTAGGTGGTGGTACGTATGGAGTTCCCTGCCGATGAACCCACAACGGTGATCGTCTTCTACAGTTTTGCTCAGATAATCATCTGTTCCTAGTTAGCACTAACTTTAGGCACAAAGAGAGACATTGTGTAACCTGGCGACCTCCATCACCAAATCAACTCTGGACTCAGATAGACCACATAGCCATAGGGTATCGTTGGCGAGAGTCAGTAGAAGACTGTCGCTCCTTCTGCAACACGTGCGTAGACTCTGATCACGCTCTGGCTCGCGCACGTTTATGCTTACGACTAAACGGACGCAAGAAAATGACGTCAGCGAAACAGTTACGTCCCCAACTAGATCGAGACACTGAGTACTTATTTAAGGAAGAAATAGCGAAACGAGTGTCTGAGGTTAACAGCAGGACTTCCCCCAAGGTAGTCTGGCACAACATACAGTTAGCTGTAGACACAGCTGTAAAAGCTGCTGATAAGCTATAATCAACATCTTTTAAACAAAACAGACATTCAAATATCTTACCATGAATAGTAATCGTCTTGTTAAAATCAAAGATTATCTTGTTTCCATGCACTGACTTTAATTGACAGTTAATCTGAACATAACCTGTTAAGTCATATATTAATTTGCCTTTTGGTGGTTGAATAATAACTTTTCGATTATGCGTTACCATTAAGATAAGGTCATTGTTGCTATTACTGCTAGATACTACTGATTTACTAAGTATTTTACCAATCCAATAAGCGTTCAAGTTGTCTTCAATATCTCTAGGCAATAGACCGCATGAAAATCGATTAGATGAACCTTTGCTTATGTGGATATCAGAATTATCAACACCATTTAATGTACCATCTAAATTACAGGCTGAAATAAATAAAAGAAAAATTACTGCTCTGTCAGTCATTCACAAACAATGCAAGCCTATAATCATAAATAACAAATTTATATTATGTTCATAATATCATGCCATATGCAGATTAGTGACACAATAGCAGAATGCTCGCCAAACACATAGGCGCCGGGGGGGTGTAGTGTCCAGTTTCAGCTTCAAGCCGACGTATTACTAAAATTCTCTTGCTTTAATAGATTGTGGTAAGCCTGGTAAAAGGTGAGGATGAGAACCAGGTTCGCAGCCCTAGCGCGTAGTGTGCAGTCCTGAAGAATAAGACTGTAAAGCATTTTTATCAGATGCTACGAGTAGTCACATTGTACATAGATATAAGCATAGAACTTGGCCATTCTGGTAGAGTATAACCCCATTATGGATAAGATTTTATTTTGATAAATCACACAGTGTGGTTATACAGTAATATTAACTGATACGACGACGTTTCGAGCACTAACTATTGCTGCTCCTGATCATATCAAGTTACTCACATAACTTTTTACTTCATTTATATACATGTGTGGAATTTAGATATGATAGAGTAGATTTGTAGCTCAGGTGGATGATTTTGATGTGATTCTGTTCTCTGAGCTGGATGGTTAGTTTGCGAAGCTTTCATCACCTTACTGGGTGACATCTTCAGCGCATACTTCAATTGAAGTAAACTAACCATCCAGCTCAGAGAACAAAACCACATCAAAATGTGTGGAATTGATTAGACACTTAAATAAAAGTCAATATAGGATAATGTACATTCAGAAATTATATTACGAGTGTTGTCAATCAAATACAATCAGATGGGAAATAAGACGGGTGTCTTTATATTCATAATAAGTAACTTGCTGGAATGTTGTGATGTGTCTGAATTGAAATAGAATTTTGAGATTATTTATTATCCTCCTTTGATTTGACTGACTGGTGGTAATAATATCTTCCATATTTCTGGTATTTGCATTGCGTCGTTTCTGTTGCATGTGATGGGTGTAAAAAGACTCAATGAACCAGGATTCAGTAATAAATCTCTCTCTCCATCTGTATAGATTACTTCTTAGAATCTTAATCTTCTCCCACCCAATTGTGTGGTTGTGTGTTAATGCATGTAGTGCAATTGGTGAGCGTTTTTCTAAATTACTTATCTTCTCGGGGTCAACCATTCTCACCTTAGCTAAATTCTTATGTTCCGACAATCTGATTACCCCCGATCTACTAGTTTGACCTATATGGTTGACCTCACAGTCATTGCAGGTATTTTGTAAATTGTATATATATGAATGCAAATTGAGGGATACTGTTCGTCACTTCATCTTCTCACTGGTTCCTACTGTCCTCTTGCTGCGCCAATCTATCCTTGTCGTATTCTTTGGAATTTGCATCAAACACTTCTTTCTTATCCGAAGACTATTAACAATAATTGGTAGACAACTTTTACCAGTGAACACAATCCCAGCAGTGAGATGGATCTGTGGGTTATATTCTTAATTTGAAGCAGTTAAAGTAACCATTAACTTTGATAACTCTTCATCTGTATTTCTATAATATACTGATTCAATACTCTTCCAGTGACTCAAACTTTAATTCTTATATCTCATACAGTTATCGATTTTTACGGTTAAGTCTCCTACAGCCTGAAGACTCAAGCTACATTCAGAACTGAAGGAATCACACAAACAAATCAGGTCATATTCAAGTGTTGGTTTGTAGGGATTTGATTGATTGGTTACAGGAATTCATCATGAGCTGACATTGGTTAGAGAACCATTGGAAAACCTGTAGGAAGTACTGGACAGCTGTTTCGTCCTAGTTTAGGACTCTTCATCAGTACGCACCCACCACTAGGGTTCGAACCCAGGACCTTCCGGTTACAAGGCGAGCTAGCTCGTATACCATTAGGCCACGAGGACCCGATCCAATGGCCAGTCTATGAATTCTAACTTCTGTCATTTCACGACATAACGTGACCCCTAGCCAATGTCTTCATAATTTAACTGTCCCCCGATTAGGATAAATACCTCATGATGAAATTTACCTTCCAAAAGGAAGTATCTGAATAACTTTCAGAATATAGCTAATTCACTGCTAGTGTAACAACAGAAGACAAGCGCTAGGCAACAGATTGTTTATTAAGGAAATCAACACATATTTATAGATTTTCATGTACATATTATAGATTATTGTTAGCAGAAAAACACAGTCTCCTGATTGGTTGTTTCCCACAGAAAGTTAATCTTGCATCTCTTTGTGACTGTTTCTTGAATGTCAGATTATCTATATGTTAACTGTATCCGTCTACGCAAAGCCTTTTTCTCTTTTTCTAACTACCAATATTGGGGATGTAAACATTGACGTAAATTACTGTCCACCAGTTTTGGCTAACAGCCAGCTCTCACCACGCTAGCACTATAGTAATCACGATAGATATCGGACTTTTACATACACGGTCGGTATCAATCTAATGAGAGTGCTACGGCTTGATTTTATAACTAATTCGCATACATAAAGTGTTATGCAGAAAACTGTAGACAAGTGAGTTTCATTTCTGATATAATCAAAGGATAAAAGGGGTGTACTAGTCTCTCCTACTTTGGTTATTTATTACGTTACACGATCCTCATTAGCGACTGGCTTTATTCAGATAGGTAGTTATCTGGGTTATAGTGGGAATTCATGACCAGCAGGGTTCATCCAGTTGGGTGTAAGGACAAACACTCGCCAGAGATGACACTGGCTGGTGCCAGTTACGTTATATCATGAATTGGCAGAACTTGGAATTCGTGGGCTGCTGGTCATTGAGGAGTCGTGTCCCAGTTTGGCTTGCCAACGAAAGATCCTGGTTTTGAACCTTGGCAGTGGAGTTGATGCATACTGTTAAAGAGTCCCAAACTGGACTGACGAAACAGTTGTCTGTCTAGAACCCGAGTGGTAGTTTTTCAATGGTTCTCTCAATGATGTAAATTCATGATGAAATCTCGTAACCATATAAAAGATCGTTTGCTCAAGCATATTTTGCGCATAACCAAATTAAAATATCTTGTACCCTTCAAAATGTTAAATAATCATGAAAATAAAAGACTAAAAATTCACTTTATTTCATAGAATTAGTTGAATAGGGTTTTGATTTGCCGTGGGGACAGTAACGTCAGTCAATCACGTAGAAATGGAAAATGTAGGACAACTTTAACTAGACTAGAAATTATGGTAGAATATCATATATACGTATATATTATATTTTGGATTTCTCTTCAAAATATCTAAACTTAATGAATCAGCCTCATTGCATCTTATGAGCTTTTTGAATGGACACCTCAATCTTACCACAACCAATTACTTGAAGTTGCTTGTTTAGCGATGGCCAGAAGTAGCTTGTTTTGTCTTATATGGATGTCTCTGGTAGCCTGGTGACTTACGCTCTGAAGATTTAGGCAATGGGTAATGGGTTTAAGTCTCAATGAACACACCATTACTCACTAGGCATCAGGTGAACATAGAGAAAACAGAGGTGATGAAGATTCCTGGACAACACCAACAGCGACAATAATAACAGACAACAATCAGCATAAATGGCAGGAACCTGAAAGAAACAACCTCTTTAACCTACCCAACTACCTGAGAAGCATCGTTTCAACTACAGGCAAACGGAACTGACGAGGATATCAAAGCCAGAATCGGAACAGCAAGACAAGCTTTCATTAGTCTCAAGTCTGTGTGGAGGTTAATAGCACTCAGCATGAAAATGAAAATGAGATCAGGATTTTCAACTCCAATGTGAAGTCAGTGCTACTCGTTATACGGATCAGAGATTTGGCTAGCGCGTCATAAAGAGCATACCAAACCTTCATTAACAGCTAACTGTCTTCGCTCAATACTCAAGATCAGATGGCCTGCCAGAAGAGATCAGCAACAGGGGTCTCTGGGAGCGAATCAACCAGGAACTGATTGTGCAACAAATAAGCAGGAAGAAATGTAGATGGATTGGCTGCCATACTCTGAGGAAACAAACCATCAAGTGACATCACTAGACAAGCCATTGCTCGAGTGGAACCCGAAAGCGAAGCGGCGAGTTGGTCGTCAGTGTGAGTGTGACATGGAAGAGGTCATGTGAAGAGGAAATCAAAGCATTTGTGCAGACTTGGAGCCAGGTGAAAACTCTAGCAGAGAACCGAACTCAGTGGAGAAATGCGGCTGAAGTCCTATGTTCCTCTAGGAATTAAAGGAAATCATAACAATCATATAATAATTCTGAGCTGAAGAGTCTTGAAATAAGACGAAACTCATGCCATGAATTGCACTAACGCTCAGCACAAAATGAATAACTTTGAGTTGTTTTTACTATTACATACATTTGTCGGAATTATTTTGAACCGATTAACATCTTTCTAAGTCTTATTTTGTACACTGTAGTTTACTGACTGCCCACTTCTGAAACGTCGAAAAACCAAGGTGTATCACCTATTCAGTACTTCATAGTTTTCAGTGGTTCTGAGTATCAGTAGAGCAATGGTGAAAAGTTAGCCATTCTACGTTTTACTGAACCTCGCCTAACCTGTAGTGGGTTAGATAAAGAAAGGGAAGGAGGATGGAAGTGAGATTAGTAACCACATCCAACAACAAACAATAACACTATCACCAAAACTTCCTAAATTTAGAAGTCCTGTGTGTCACTTAAAATGCACAGAATAAGATTTAATATACTTTTGCTCTTGGTGATATTATATGGTTGGAGGAAATCGGCAGGAAATCTCGCCTAGGCCTAGGTTTCGTGCTAGTTGGCACTCGTCAGCAAGGTGTATCTGCAAACTTGAAGGAATTCATGTCCCTTTTGTGAGATTCGAACCCAAGTCACCCAATGCTGAAGTCACAGACACCTACCACGAAGCCGTGCGGGTAGACTGCGGAAAAATTGACTGAGGGAATTTGGCTTCACCAAACAAAGGGCTAGACACATTATACTATATACTAGCTAGTGTCTAATCAGAGTAGTCTTCTAGTGTTTTATATATCTGAAGTTAATTTATTATCGGTGGCACAGCGGTTAAGACTCTCGCCGGTCGTGTACATAGTCCGGGGTTTGATCCGCTGCCGACACACAACTGATAACAATGGTCGGCCTGCAAAATCTGGACTACTGATATCACATACTGAAAATTCCAAACTTGTATGGTGTGGAATCAATCTATAATCAAAATGAAAAATTACTTTTATTCCTACTTACGTAGGATATCAATTTTACGTATAAATTTGTAAATTATTTCATTCGTTCCACGGTTTACAAGCAGGCATTCGACTTGAATTTGTCCACTTCTATTGTAAGTTTTACTCTCTGAAGGTGGTTGTATATAAACTTGATTATCTTTATAAGATAATGATACTAACTGAGTATTTTTAGTTAGTATTTTAGCTTTCCATGAACCATTAAGTTGAGATTCTAATTCTGATGGGATAAGACCACATTTTAGAGATTTATTAGTAGCGAATGGGATTATTACATCCATAGTATTTATACCATTAATTGTACCTTCTAAAGGACAATCTAGAAAAAGAAATATTTAGAATAAAAAGGAGGAGATATGCTTTATAATATTGACATTTAGACTAATATAGAACGTTTGTTGCCTGTAGGATGTTCATAATCTTGGATGAAGTGATTATGGTCAATCTGGTAAATAATCAGTTGAAGTCAACAGCGCAAAGTTTTCAAATGTTTAAGAGATATGTAGATAACATATTTATCATTTGTGATGATGATTCTGATTTGAATAATGTACATTGAATGGGCTTAATAGTTTCCATCCAGGGGTAAAATTCACAGTCGAATTGGAGAGCGAGTCTGGTATTCATTTTCTGGAATTGACCTTATCAAGGAGGACTGACGGAACTTTGGAGAGATCAATTTATAGAAAGCTATCATGGAATAGTCAACCGACAAATTTCTACATCTGGATATCCATTGATGGTAAACGAAATCTGATCCAGTCCCTTGCATTTCGCATTCGGCGTATAAGGTAATCCTGAAGCTAAGTCTTCTGAGAAAAGTTCTAATGGAAAGTGAATTTCTGCCATGTTTTATAGACATAAAATATACAGTTGAAACCTATGAAATATGACAACGTCCATAACCAAGAAAATGATCCACATGAACTTGGAATTTATAGGTGACTTAACTTCCGATATCATTGAGAGAAGGATCTCATAGTCTGTCAAAAAATATTCCCTACTACATCTTTGAGAATAGCCTTTACCAGTCGACAATTACTGTTCAATAATCTGAAGTACAAGATCTCGCATTTGCCCAGCTTTATGTGTGTTTATCAATTCACCTGCTCGTGTGAAACTCGGCATATCGGTCGTTCGACTCGAGCTTTGTCCAATAGGGTGCAAGGACACAATCGTGCATGGTTACGAAGAAGTGGAAGTGGAGCAATAAGAAGCGCGATCATTGAACATCTGGTAGATAATGATCACCCTATCTACAAGGCGAAAAGTATTTTGCCCAAATCACTACGTATCCGACTCATCTGTATTGATGAAGCTTTGTCCATTGTGATAGAAAAGCCAGATCTCTGTTTGTAAAAGGAATTGGTCATCCCCTTCAACTCTCATGGTCTTAATTCCTCTGTGCTAAAGTATGATAATTCATATTCATATTCTGGCTGTGTTTATTTTCCATTTTCTTTATTCAATTTGCATACTTTTCCCTCACTCCATCAATTGTTACTAACATTATTGCCCTGTTCAACTGTCCGTGGTATTATTTCACTTCTCCTACTTGTCATTCTAAATCAAATTTTGTTCTACAAAGTTAGATTCCCTGTTACGCTTCGTTTTATTTGTATACTAGTCCTATAATTTTACACCCCTTCCAATGCATATAAATTCAATGAATTATTCTATAAATAGCATTATTTTTTTACCACTTGACATTTAACTACGATTATAATCATAAATGTATTAATTGAATTTCGTACTATTACTGTTTTATGTATTTACACCCTTGTTTCAATCTCTTCACGGGGTATAATTTCTTAATATAAAAAACCATATATATGCGATTGTGTAGCTTGATATTAAATTGGTTGAGAAGAGCCTCTTCGCCGAATCACATATTTTGACTTCACATAGTGATTAGAGTTGAAAAAAGTCTGCTAATAAGCGTCGCCTCAATGAATTTATTAACTGTTAGGTTGGTATGATGTCGCGACCTTGTTATTTTACAGTAACAATCAGATTGAAGTAGAATAAGAACGCCAATACTGGACACAGACGCTCTGTTCATGAATACGTTTTGACTACGCTAACAACAACATTATACGTCAGCTATCTATTTCTCATCCTCCTAGCCTGCTCTGCTTAGAAGAAAACACACAACAACGCGAAGTGGAAAGTGTATCTTCACCAGTATCCGTATAAGAAGCAAGCTTACCAAAGAAAATAATGTCAGACTTTTGTTAAAGGTGATTATAAGACTTCCTGTTTTTCAGCTTCTCTGCTTGAGTACCCAATATCATTTGCAAAATCTCACTCAAAAGGAATGTCTCGTGATAACAATTCAATCTCCGAGATATCAATACTTTTGGAAATAAATAAGCTAAGGATGGTGGTACGCAGCTTTTCTGACAGACAGCATTGGCTGTTGTCACTTCAGCTGATAACTCTCCAATATGCTTGGTAAGGTTCTATCCTTAAAGATAAAGTGTTTAACCTTACTTCTCACGAAATATTGTTAGAGCCTCCAGAAATACATTTTGAAGTTAAGTTTATGGGAATTTTATTGGTTTAGATCTATTCCTGGTGAAAATGGAAGCATACACGTTCTAAACTAAAATGAAATAGTTTTCCATTACTCCACTGTTTTAAGTAGCTCTTCAGTATATACAGATTATGAAGAATTCCAGCTTCAAATCAAACAAATTTTCAAAATTTCAATACTTTAAGCTAGGGAAAGAATGATTACATGGATAATAATGAAAGTTTTAATTTTATACAATAATAAAGATAGCTATAGAAGGGAAAACTTCCCAGTACCTACCTTCTAAAAATGAAGCAAGAGGTAATAATGCAATAAGTAATGTCAGCGTGCATTGGCGTGACATTGAAGTTATTATCCCTTTTAGATTTGCATTTCGTAGAATTTTAAATATAATTAGTAAATATGGAACATGATGAATTTCCAAAGCTTTCTAGAATGTTTGTCTTTTAATTTCTACGCAATTTCGGAATAGTATATAACTTACCATGCATATCCATTGCAACAAATTAGAACAAATATTATGGTTAAGATTCATATATGCCCATACAAGCTAAAAAAATTTAACTTTCCAATAACAGAACTTAAAATAAATAAAAAATAAATAAAATAAGGTTTATGATTGAGCAAAAAGAATTTTCTATAATTTCTACTGAATAAATTAGGTTAACTGTTTACGGAAAAGGATTCAGATGGTGAGAAAACCGAATATTTATGTGTTAGTAATATCCTTAGAACAAAAGCAACCATAAGTTAGTGTTCAGTTGTTAGATACTTTTTTCTGACACACAACATTGTTTTTTGAAAGGAGTGGCTTCATTTTAATAATACAGACCATTTAAATGAGTCATGGAGTATTTGCTACTGCTGCCTAGATGCCACTGATGGCATCAGGAAAACATTGTAATATGAATGGTTTTAAGTTTTTTAGGGAAGTGGTGGTAAAGGAATTTCAACTCAAACTGTTTAAGTTAGAGGTGATTTAGTTCTGGCTCACTGAGAACAAATTAAATGTGCTCGTACAGTCTGAAACCAATACTATTCATTCTGGACTAATGGCTAATTCTGTAATGGTAAGTCAAATAGGCCTCTTCAAACACAAGCCATCCTCATCACACGAAAATTACTAATCAACTGAAGAACACCTAGTAAAATTAGGTTGTCGTTAATCATTGTAAATATGCTAGGTTTCGCCACATGCGACAGATTTGATAGCTAATGTAATTAGTAAATATCCTAAAATCCATTGACTGACTTGTGCTTGACTCCTAATTTACACATAAAATATCATAATTTGGCGATTGCTGAAAGTTAAACATTCGGCATCATGAAGTTATCATTTCTGTCAAGACGTCTGCTTTTTTGAAATATTTATTTGCTTGAATTCCCTTACACATATTCGTTTAAATAACCTTGTATCTATGATAAGTCGCCGAAAGTCTACCTTTAAAAGATTTTGATCAACCGTCAAGCCTTCAGGAATTGAAAATACAGTTAACACAACATAACAAAGAAAGTCCTTGATATCTACTCGTTCAGTAAAACAGCCAACCAGATATATATTCATTTCTGAATTTAAAGTCAGAAACGTTTACAATCCGTGACATAAGGTTAGAGATCGCTTAATATGACTGCAAGAAGGAAAAGGCAGATGCTCTTTAAATACTTTGATGTACTGCGGGTTAATTTACAACCTAATTCTCCGCAGCACTAAGACCTGATTCCTCAACTGTGATATTTAATTAAGTTACAACTTAAGTGATTTTGTTATAAAAGCATAATGGAATAAAAAGCCAAAGCAGTCCGTATATATTAGTTGAAACATTAAAAATTTAAATAATTCATCAAAACACTATGGTCGGTCTGATGCTGTGTTGAAACAGGCCGATTTGCAGCAACATAAAATTCTTATTCTGATTATCAAACTTGTCTTAAACTAAGATAATGAAAGCATTAAAACAAGAACAATATACTAAAATATACCTAATACATATTCAGTCAACAAAAAGACACGAGCTGAAAGTATACTGTGTGATTTTACTGTGGTGCAGCACGGAAACACATTTGACATTTGAAAGTAGAGCAAACACTAAGCATTTAAACAAAGATTGGCATTCTATCGACTATTTTAATGAGGCCTGTTCTGATCCAAGAAATCATACCAAAATAGCCGTGAAATTCTGATATAAGTAATAGATCTATACATTCCGTATTTTCTTATTAGACTAGACAATACACAATTCAATACTAATAATACAATTAGAGTAACTACTGCCGTAAGTTTTGTTGCTATACTATTTGAAAAACAAAGTCTATGGGGTAAATTATCTGGTTTGGGGGATAAAATGACTTAAATGTGAAGACAGTGGATTCACTGTTGTACTCCAGAGGGTAACAATCTCTAGGAAAGCGTTACTAATCAAACAAACGTTTCCGGCTTTGACAACTTTATTATGATATTCACACATAAGAAGTTGTCTATAGAGACGCTTGTGGGTGAAAGTAATATCATGTAGTGTAATCTAGGGTCACCGAAATGCAATTAGGGATAGATATTATGATTCCTGTTAGTAGTGTTTTTTTGGGCACATGCACAGTTCATTCTCTTCTCTAAATTTCATTCTGGATGGTTCCACGATTGTATATAGCCCCTAAAACCTTCCTCATATTATTTCCTCTATGCCACTCTTGAACGCTCAATTTGTCGTTTTGCATTCTGGTTCCATTCGAGAGCGTCCGACGATTTCCTAGGCATGTATCCACTCCATCGCCATTCTCTCCAGCGTATTTGCAAGTTAAGTAAAAAGATATTGGTTTGCTCATCAACACAGCTTCTTGTGCCTGACAGGTATCTGTTCTTCAGCATGGATCCAAGACAGCTGCTGATAAGAGTCTGCAGCCCGATGGAAATTCTTTTGATGACACGCTAGGTCTCTAGACCATGCAGAAGAATTTGTTTCACATTAGTGCTAAAGACCCCAATCATATCCTTCATGTTGGCTGTAGCAGATTTCCGCACTAGTCCGGATTAATGAATGTGTGGCTCGCCTCTCTCACCCTGGTCTCGATATCATTATCTTTGGCACCAGTAGGTGAGTCGACTTTCTTCAAATTTCTTCCGCTGTTAGCAACTAGTGTTTGTTGCTGTTTTTGGTTACATAACTTCCTTGGCTGTGTCATCTTTATATTCACCTGAAACCTTGTTATCGTTGTTTCTTCTGCTAATGCATTGATTTTGCTCCAATTGGCGAATATGTGTACATCAAATATGACCACCAATGATTTCAAGATACCTTATCTTCCGACCGAAACAATAATAATAATAGGAACGTGGAGCATACGTACAATGCATTAGGCTGGTAAAGCTGCCCAGGTAGCCTAAGAAATAAAATTTTATGCGATAAGAGTGCTCGGACACCACGAAAGCAGGTGGAATGGTTGTGGACTAGCCAAGCTATCATTTGAAGAGCCAATGATTTACTACGGCCACATGGGCGACAATCACAAGCACAATGGGGGCCTAGCTATCATGATACCACCAACAGCAGCTAAAGCTTTTATGCGGTAGGTAACAATTTCACAACAAGGTCCGACCTGAAAGGTAGGAAGGAAGCCACCATTTATTCAATGCAACGCGCAGTGCCATAAGCATCTCAGAACAAGAGAAAGATTTCTATAGGCAACTACGAATTGTAATAGATAACATTCCAAACAGGAAGATAAAAGTCCTAAAGGGAAATACGAATGCTAGACTGAAAGCAGACAATGAAATCAGAGAACTCATCATGGATATAGGGACCTTTCGTGAAATGGATAGGAGCGGCGAACTCTTCGCGGACTTCTGCGCCATCAATAATCTGGTAATTGAAAAGGCTTGCACAAACAAGCGTATATACACAAGGCCGCATGAATTTCACCTGATGGGCAGAAAAAGACCAGATAGACTTCATCTTATGTCTGCTTAAAAGGGAGAAACGCCACCTAATGGACACAAAATCAAGAAGCGGAACAGATGTGGGCCCAAACCATTATCTAGTCGAAGGGGTCTTCAAGGTGAAGTTGAAGGCCTTCGAATAAGCTGGAGTTACACCCGGAAACTGAAGGACAAAACTAAAAGAGACACACACGCATGTGGCCATCAGAGAGAGGCAGAAAACACTATACAGGATCACCTAAAAATCTTTTGTGGAAGAACGTTAGTACTACCTAAGTGTGATTTTCAAGGAAACCTGCTTATCAGTCTTAGGACAGAGGAAGATGCGATGCAAAGAATGGTTTTCTGCAGACACCCGAAACTTATACACGAGATGTGGATGGTGAAACAGAAGATGAACTACTGCAGCGACAGACAAAACAAGAGGCTGGATTCATTGTACAGGGTACGTAATAAAGAGGTAAAGGAGGAGACATAAAGTACAAGAAACAATTCTGCGCCGCACTAGCAGTTGAAGCTTAGCAGGCTCCAAGTAAGACAGGCCTCAGAACATAGTGTCAAATAAACAGGTTACCATCCAGCAAAAGGGAAAAATGGTGAAATCAATAAAGAGCGTCAAACAAACCTAATTACAAAGGAGGAGAGGCAGACAAATGAAACAAAGTGCTGATCACTTCAAAGAACTCTTGGGTTGACAACCACTTGCAAATCGTCCAGGAAAGCCGCCAACAACACGCGCACAGCTACCAGTGTTGAATGCAGCCAAGCTAGTGAATTCCCGAAAGGCAGGAAGTCCAGACGCCACTCCCACTGAAAAATTGTAAGTGGACCCAGACACTGCGGTGGATATCCATGCGCCACTGCTGCAGAGGATAAAGAAAGAAGACAAGGCATCCCTCGTTTACTAGAATGGAAACATAAGCCATTGAGAGAACTAGCGTGTCACATGTAAAATGTATTTATTTACGTCATTATCATCAGACTGAAAGGTGCTCCGGATTCAAAACTCCAGCCGAAACAAGCTGAATTCAGGGTAGGCCAATTACGTTCAGATCAGATTGCAATTGTGCACATCGCCATTGAATAAACGATAAAATCGCGTTTGAAACTTTGCCTCAGCTCCCTTGACTTTAGAAAGGCCATCGACATCGTTGACTGAGAAATAACTTAGAGACTACTTTAAAACTATGGAGTTCGTCGAATTATCATTAACTAAACTTAACAACAATCTGACGATGCCATGCGTCAGGTGACCCTTAACAGAAAACTTGGGTGTACGAAGTGAATACAGGAATATAACAAAGACCGCCTATTTTTTATTTATTTTTTATCACAGCTTGATTCCACACTGTATTTTTGGTACAAGTATGGAATTCTCAGCATGGATATCGGTAGCCCGAATTTTGCAGGCC